GTTAACGGGACCCGGTAACACCGTCAACACTTTGACGTTCACATTTGCCTCGCTGCTACTGCTGCTACAGGCCTTGTGTTTGTGGGGGGGGGGTGTCTCACGTTCTGTCTTCCAGAATCCTCTCCCCGGTCTACTCTCGCTCAAACGTCAAACATCTCGGTACAGCTCCAACGAAAGGAAGCCCCAACGGGGCAGAGATCCCAGGCAGTGACGGGACAGGGAGCCAGGTCTGCGTCTCGATGTCTCGGTTCAACTCCACGCGGCTTCGTGTTGCGCAAGCGGAGTGGAGGGCGTGCAGATGTCTGGGGCGTCGTCGGGAGAATCCAGGCCGTTAACGGGACACCTGGTAAAGTTAAAACGCCGTTGTCATTCGAATTATCAACGACTACTTCAGGCTTTGCGTTCGTATCGGAGTTGGGGGGGGGGGGGGGGTCCTGACGTTTTATCTTCCAGAATCCCTCGCGTCTCCTGCGTCCTCGCGACGCCGGCAAAGAGCGGGAAGAGAGATCATCGGTGAATCTAGGCAGTCGCAAGATCCCCAAGTCCCATTTGCACAGACGTCTCTCTCGGTTCGAACTCCACGCAAACCCTCTCGTGCGTCCCGTAAAGCAAGTGCGGATGTCTGGGGCGTCGTCGCGAGAACCCAGACAGTGAACGTACCTCCTGGTGACAGCGCCGCTCCTGTGCCACCCGTCGCTTTCAAGATTGTTGACTGGGAGTTGGGGCAGGGGGGGTTCCTCTAACGCTGCAACCTGCAGACTCCTCCACCCCGTCTACTCGCGCTCAAACTTGAGGAGGAGGAGGAGGCCCAAGGTCTGCGTCAGTCGGCGGTGATTCCAGGCGGTTGTACCGGCACCCGGTAGCACCACGACCACTCTGACATTCACTTTTGCTCGTGACTGCAGCGGTGTTTGTGTCGGTATCAGAGTTGGTGGTTGGGTTGGACGTGGGGCTGCGTGGGGTGGGAGAGAGAGAGGGGAGGGGGCTACTTTACTGCGTTCGTATCGGAGTTGGGGGGGGGGGGGGTCCTGACGTTTTATCTTCCAGAATCCCTCGCGTCTCCTGCGTCCTCGCGATGCCGGCAAAGAAGAGATCATCGGTGAATTCAGGCAGTCGCAAGATCCCCAAGTCCCATTTACACAGACGTCTCTCTCGGTTCCAACTCCACGCAAACCCTCTCGTGCGTCCCGTGAAGGTGTCTGGGCTTCGTCGCGGAGAATTCGGGCCGGTTTCCGTGGCACCTGGTAAACACCAAATCTTCTCTGCCCAAATCTAATGCTTTTTTAAATCCTTTATATTAAGTTAACTTGCTTGCGCGCTTACGACCGTGCAAATATTTCGGTCGTTTTTTAACCCACTTCCCGTGATCCAATCGAGCTGACATTTTGCACACAGACTCGTTGTGCGTGACAATTAATGTTCGTGAAAAAAATTTCCGTAATTTTACACTTTTTAGGGAAAAATATTTTTTATTATTTAATTACCAATTGCTTAATGGTGGCAGGCAATCATCTGACCCATAGGTGGCAGCCATCTCAAGCCAGAGGACGAGAGGACTCTAGCCGCCACGCATATAAAGGATTTATAGTGAAAAACTTTGTTTTTACGGGTTAATTTTTCACACGTGAGTTTTTGTTATTTTATTTGTGTTCGTATGTCGGGAGTTGACGGGGCGGGGAAGGGGGGGGTGGGTGTTGTGTTAACGCCGTGTCTTGCAGACTCGCGTCTCCTGCGTGCTCACAGCAAGAACTGCAACGGGGTGGGGGGGGGAAGAGCGAGAGAGTTGACAGAGTTGATGGGCGAATCCAGGCGGTTACAGGAGCCCAGGTCTCTTTTCACGCACGCAAACCCTCTCGTGTCTCCATCGTTGCCTTGTGGATGATTGTAGTGGTGGAGGTGATTGTGGTGGTGGTGATAACCAGGGGGTGGTGAGTGGCTTGCCTCTGTAGGAGGCCGTGGCATCGTTTAACAAGTAGCAGTAGCAGCAGCAGGGGGCTTTTTGCGACTAATCTACATAAGATGTTGTTTTTGTGCTAGAACTAGTGACGAATTGGCACGTTTTGTTCACGCGACAAACCTTACCCAATTGGCCGTGTCGGGTGGTGGCGGGTTTCAACGACACATTTAATATATTCACGCGATCCAACACAAAACAACAACAACTCTGTTACGCTTTTACAAACGCTGCGTTGCCACAGAATTAGCGTTCTCACGTCGTGAGTTGGGGCTGGGTAGGAGGAAGGGGGGTGGGGAGGGTTGCTGTGTCCACGCCGTGTCTTGCAGACTCCCTCGCGTCTCCTGCGTGCTCGCGACGGCAGCAGCAGCAGCAGAGAGAGGGATCGTCGGTGAACCCAGGCGGTGGCAGGAGCACCACCAAGTTTGATTCACACGGACGTCGCTCTCGCTTGGAACTGCGCGCAAACCCTCGTGCGTGTGAGTGTGTGTGTGTCCGTCGTGCGCCGATGTCTGGGCGTTGTCGTCGGAGAATCCAGGCCGCTGTCTGGGGCACCTGGTGACTACGGAATAAATCCTCTGGCACGAATCCATTGCCTTTACAAACGTCGCCGTTTTTCTACGGAATTTGTGTTCGTGTGTCGTGAGTCGGAGGTGCGGGACTGGGGGGGGGGGGTGTTAACGCCGTGTCTTGCAGACTCCCTCGTATCTCGGCTTGCTCACATCAACAGCGGCAAAGAGAGAGATCATCGGTGAATCGAGGCGGTTACAGGAGCCCAAGTCTGTCTCACGCAGATGTCTCTTGGGTTCGAACCCCAACGGGGCAGAGATCCCAGGCAGTGATGGGACAGGGAGCCAGGTCTGCGTCTCGATGTCTCGGTTCAACTGCAGAGGCAGGAAGTGCAAACGGTCGAATCGGCGGTGGATACGGGCAGTTAGCGGACCTCCTGGTAACACCGCAACTCCTTTGGCCGTGCGTTTGAATTTGCCTTGCTGCTACTACTACAGGATTTGTTTGTATTGGGGGGGGGGGGTCTAACGTTCTGTCTTCCAGAATCTTTCCTCGTGTCTACTCTGAAACATCTCGGTACAGCTCCAAAGAAAGGAAGCCCCAACGGGGCAAAGACCGCCTGTCAAAAGGTTCTGTTCGCTGCTCGTGAAACGTTTAAAAATGGAGGATGAATTTGCGGAGATTTTTTTTTTAATTGCTGGGATGAAATGTCTCTATGAAACAAACTCTATCATCCCGAGTCATCGCGGCCACTTCACGTCAGTTTGGCAACGTCAAAACCCCGGCACGCGTGAAGTCTGGAAGGCTTCGGGGAAATTAACGATTGGACAATGAACGCTCGACAAATTGTGGAGGAATTTGAAGTGAAATTTTCCAAACTCAACCTGCTTCCTCAAGTGCTTCTTGAAGGGAGGCAGCCCCCCCTCTTGGGGAAAGATTTAACAATTGACTTTTTTACGAACGTGGAAATTGCGCACCGCTTAAGAGACTTGGAGAGGGCAAGGCTGGGGGAGCATTGCAAAGCGACCAACAGCAACTCTTGTCGGCCTGATCTTTTGCGCAGATTGCCCGAGGGGAAGTGGGCATCGTCCAGGAGACGTGTGAAGCAGAGGGTCAGGGTCGGGGACGCAGATGCACCGGGCTCGCTCGCACGGGCAGTTCCTTGCCGGCGTGAAATCAATCGTCGGGTCACAAATATCACACTCAGTAACCCGTCGCAACGCTGCTACTGTCACAGCTCCACTGTCACCGCCTGCCACTGCTCTGCCACCGTCACCGCCCTCTGCTGCCCAGCCACGATCACCGCTCTCCACTGCCCAGCCACCATCACTGCCCAGCCATGATCACCGCTCTCCACTGCCCAGCCACCATCACTGCCCAGCCACCGTCACCGCCTCTGCACTGCCCAGCCACCATCACCGCCTCTGCACTGCCCAGCCACCATCACCGCCTCTGCACTGCCCAGCCACCATCACCGCCTCTGCACTGCCCAGCCACCGTCACCGCCTCTGCACTGCCCAGCCACCATCACCGCCTCTGCACTGCCCAGCCACCATCACCGCCTCTGCACTGCTACTGAATCGGCCACCGTCACTGCCCTCTGCTGCCCAGCCACAGGAAGCTCACACAGCTGCTCCGTCTGCCCTGCACCCTCCTCCCCCGTGTGCGCGTTTTGTAGCCGCTCGCTGGCTGCTGGCGTTCTATACCAAGCTCCACCGACCGGCCATCGTCCTCCTATGTGTGGGTGGCGCAGGCTGTGCGGTAAACCACTCGTCCCACTCCTCCCACATGCAATTTTGGTGCACAGTGCTGTGTGCATGGCGGGGGGGGGGTTGTCCTTAACCAAATGTCTTCCAGAAGTCTCCTCCCCCCTGAGCAGAGCTTGCGTCTCCGTAGCCCAGGCGGTGATACGTCGCGTGCCTCGTGGTCTGGGTAAACCAATGGACTCGCCCCACACACACCCACTTGTTACCTGTGGAACATACGAATCTGTCCGTTGCTGTGGCTTGCCAGAAATCTTGGGGGTGGGGCGGGGGGGGGCCTTTCACGTTCTCTGTTACAGAACCTAGTCAAACGTCCAGCCCTACCTACCTACCCTGTACAACAAGCCCAGCCCTGGAGAAGGGGAAGAAGAGACACCACAGCAAACCCCATGACACCGCCACAACCAGGGAGTGCCCTTTGACTCGCCTCACTCTGCATGCGTTATTCTCATTGGGTCATGAGTTGGCTTCGCCAGCCAGGTGTGAACGTGGAGCTGTGTTTATCGTTGTCAAGGCTGAGCGGGTGATGGTGGCGATGGGTGGAGAATGTGAGGAACTCAACCCCCGACTGCTGTACAAATCGGCACAAAGTAAACCAGCCGTGGAAGGAGCGGGGCGAGAGTCTTTGCCACCACCAGGGAGTGTCCTTAACTCTTCGTGCTTCACAGCCACACGTCAACATTTATAATTGTTTATCAATGGTGATGGGCCTTGGCTTTGTAGCCACGAGTGTGAACACGGAGGTTGTGTTTATCGTTGTCAAGGCTCGGCAGGTGGTGGTGGTGAATGTGAAACGCAAGCTGACGCACAGAGCAAGCAGCCGCACTGCTGTACAACACCAACCCAGGGAGTGTCAATGACTCTTGTATTTCCCACACAGCAACTTTATTTATCAATGTCAATGAGCCGTGCTCTGTAGCCACGCGTGAGCATCATGGAGGTTGTGTTTTATTATTGTCAAGGCTGAGCGGATGGTGGTGGTGGTGGTGATGGGGAATCAGACACGCTGGCATCCGTTCCTGCCACCCCCAACTTTGAGAGAGATGTCTGGGCGAGTTCTCAACCCAGGTAACCGTGCGAGTCTCCGGCCCGATCCTCAGCCTTACCAAACGAGTGACGTGGATGTTTTACTTGAGGTTAAACGCCGTTGCCATTCTCATTATCAACGACTACTTCAGGCTTTGCGTTCGAGTTGGGGGGGGGGGGTCCTGACGTTTTATCTTCCAGAATCCCTCGTGTCTCCTGCGTCCTCGCGACGCCGGCAAAGAGGGGGAAGAGAGATCATCGGTGAATCCAGGCAGTCGCAAGATACCCAAGTCCCATTTACACAGACGTCTCTCTCGGTTCGAACTCCACGCAAACCCTCTCGTGCGTCCCGTGAAGGAAGTGCGAATGTCTGGGGCGTCGTCGTGAGAACCCAGGCAGTTAACGGGACACCTGGTAAACAAAGTTACCACTCCGTTCCCATTCGTTCGTATTTTCAATGTCTAATTCAGGCTTTGAGTCCGTATCAGAGTTGGGGTGGGATTGCTTGGGGCGGGTGGGTTGGGGGGGGCGGTCTCTAACGTTCTGTCTTCCAGAATCTTTCCTCGTGTCTACTATGAAACATCTCGGTACAGCTCCAACGAAAGGAAGCCCCAACGGGGCAGAGACCCCAGGCAGTGACGGGACAGGGAGCCAGGTCTGCGTCTTGATGTCTCGGTTCAACTCCACGCAACTTCCTCAGTGCAACTCCACACGGTCTCTGTGCAACTCAACGCAACTTTGATGCAACTCCCAACAGCATCCATCAGGGAGTGTCAATGTCTCTCGCTACCCACAGCAGCAGCAGGAACATTATTACTATGAACTGGTCATGAGCAGTGCTGCTAGGTAGCCACGAGTGTGAACACGGAGGTTGTGTTTATCGTTGTCAAGGCTCGGCAGGTGGTGGTGGTGAATGTGAAACGCAAGCTGACGCACAGAGCAAGCAGCAGCCGCACTGCTGTACAACACCAACCCAGCCCTGGGTGGAAGGGGGGAGAAGCCGTACGGCCATTACCATCCACCAGGGAGTGTCAATGTCTCTTGCTACCCACAGCAGCAGCAGCAGCATTATTTATGATCAATGGCAATGAGCCGTGCTCTGTAGCCACGCGTGAGCATCATGGAGGTTGTGTTTTATTATTGTCAAGGCTGAGCGGATGATGGTGGTGGTGATGGGGAATCAGACACGCTGGCATCCGTTCCTGCCACCTCCAACTTTGAGAGAGATGTCTGGGCGAGTTCTCAACCCAGGTAACCGTGCGAGTCTCCGGCCCGATCCTCGGCCTTGCTCACCAAATGAGCGACGTGTGGATGTCTATTTGCGCACCAAAGGGACATTAACTTCTCCCAAACACAGCTGTCAGCAGTGGCAGTGCTTGCTTGCCAACAAGGACATTCAATTGATTTTGATACCGTTGCAGTGTTTTGCGGAACTAATTATTACTGGCCAAAATTAGTTCGAGAATTAATTGAAATTGAGAATAATCCTGATGGGGTTCAACAACGATGACATCGTCATCCTGCACTGTTTGTTTAAGACCAGAAGCAGGTGGACGGCTTCACTTTTCTGGCAAATCGCACCGAAGGTGCCGGATGTCATTTCCAGCGAAACGTCGCTGTTACTCGGATTGTAAATGTTGTGGATCCACTCTTGAACAAACCGGCGGGCTAAAGTGGTGAACTATTTTGTCTTTTGTCAACGTGACACATTGTTTACTGATTGGCAGTGTCGGGTGGTGGCGGGTTTTAGCGACACATTTAAAATATTTACGCGATCCAACCCAAAAGCAACAACTCTATCGCGTTTTTTCAAACGTTTCGTTGCTACAGAATTAGTGTTCTCATGTCGGGAGTTGGGGCTGGGTAGGAGGAAGGGGGGTGGGGAGGGTTGCTGTGTCCACGCCGTGTCTTGCAGACATCGTACGAGGGGGGAGAGCAACAGGGAAGGAAGCGCAAATTGCTCCTCTGTCATCGGCCATTCCAGGCGGTTAACGGGACCCGGTAACACCGTCAACACTTTGACGTTCACATTTGCCTCGCTGCTACTGCTGCTACAGGCCTTGTGTTTGTGTCAGTGGGAGTGGGGGGGGGTCTCTAACGTTCTGTCTTCCAGAATCCTCTCCCCGGTCTACTCTCGCTCAAACGTCAAACATCTCGGTACAGCTCCAACGAAAGGAAGCCCTAACGGGGTAGAGACCCCAGGCAGTGACGGGACAGGGAGCCAGGTCTGCGTCTCGATGTCTCGGTTCAACTCCACGCGGCTTCGTGTTGCGCAAGCGGAGTGGAGGGCGTGCAGGTGTCTGGGGCGTCGTCGGGAGAATCCAGGCCGTTAACGGGACACCTGGTAAAGTTAAAACGCCGTTGCCATTGGCATTATCAACGACTACTTCAGGCTTTGCGTTCGTATCGGAGTTGGGGGGGGGGGGGGGGGGGTCCTGACGTTTTATCTTCCAGAATCCCTCGCGTCTCCTGCGTCCTCGCGACGCCGGCAAAGAGCGGGAAGAGAGATCATCGGTGAATCCAGGCAGTCGCAAGATCCCCAAGTCCCATTTACACAGACGTCTCTCTCGGTTCCAACTCCACGCAAACCCTCTCGTGCGTCCCGTGAAGGTGTCTGGGCTTCGTCGCGGAGAATTCGGGCCGGTTTCCGTGGCACCTGGTAAACACCAAATCTTCTCTGCCAAAATCTAGCGCTTTTTTTACACTCTTTTATTTAACTCCCTTCGTCTGTATCTTCAAAAAAGAAATATTGTAACTCAATTTTTATCCACTTCTCAATGTGCTATCGACTGCAAACTTGGTATAGGTGTGTCATACTGATGGCAATATTATATTCTATCATTGAAAAAGAATATATATATATATTTCTTCTTTGTTCTTTCGGTAAAGTCACGTAGAAGGGAAGTAATAAAATAATAAAAATAAAACAATAAAATTATTCTCGCGACGTTTCGGCCACAACGCAAGCAGCCGTCCTCAGGTGAAGAACAGGTCTGTCGGAAAGACAGCGTCCGAATGAGTCTTTCCGACAGACCTGTTCTTCACCTGAGGACGGCTGCTTGCGTTGTGGCCGAAACGTCGTGAGAATAATTTTATTGTTTTATTTTTATTATTTTATTACTTCCCTTCTACGTGACTTTACCAAAAGAACCAAGAAGATGAATCCCTGCAGTCACGAAAGCTTTAAATCAAAATTTAATATATATTTTTTTAAACGATCAATTTTTTACGGCTCTAATTGTCGACGCTCAACTCACGGGTGTCAATCACCACGTGGTCCCTTAGTCACGGCAAGCCTCGGGGAGCCATGCCCATGGGCGGGTGATGTGGAAGGAGGGGAGGGGTGATGGGGAAAGGGGGCAGGGGGAAGGGCAGCTCGGATAGTACATTTAATTAAAGCGTGATTAGAAAAAGAATTTAAAAATATTTTATTCAAACGTGATTTTTTTGTTGTTTTGTGTTTGTATGGCGGGGAAGGGGGGGGTGGGTGTTGTGTTAACGCCGTGTCTTGCAGACTCGCGTCTCCTGCGTGCTCACAGCAAAAACTGCAACGGGGTGGGGGGAAGAGCGAGAGAGTTGACAGAGTTGATGGGCGATTCCAGGAAGTTGCAGGAGATTCACGCAGACGTGTCTCATCGGTTCAAACTCCACGCAAACCCTCTCGTGTCTCTCCATCATCGCCTTGTGGATGATTGTAGTGGTGGAGGTGATTGTGGTGGTGGTGTTAATAACCAGGGGGGTGAGTACCCCAGGTTAAGAACAACAGGTTTAGAGGCACACCACTTGTATGTGATCGTGTGCTAGAACTAGTGACGAATTGGCACGTCTTGTTCACGCGACAAACCTTACCCAATTGGCCGTGTCGGGTGGTGGCGGGTTTCAACGACACATTTAATATATTCACGCGATCCAACACAAAAACAACAACAACTCTGTTACGTCTTCTTGGTTCTTTCGGTAAAGTCATCACGTAGAATGGAAATAATAAAAATAAAATAATTCTCACGACGTTTCGGCCACAACGCAAGCAGCCGTCCTCAGGTGGAGAACAGGTCTGTCGAGAAGACAGCGTCTGAATGCGTTGTGGCTGAAACGTCAGAAATTAATTTGTTTTATTTTTATTATTTTATTGTTTCCATTCTACGTGATGACTTCACCGAAAGAACCAAAAAGATGAATCCCTGCTGCAGTCACGAAATCTTTAAATCGAAATTTAACTCTGTTACGCTTTTACAAACGTTGCGTTGCCACAGAATTAGCGTTCTCACGTCGTGAGTTGGGGCTGGGTAGGAGGAAGGGGGGTGGGGAGGGTTGCTGTGTCCACGCCGTGTCTTGCAGACTCCCTCGCGTCTCCTGCGTGCTCGCGACGGCAGCAGCAGCAGCAGCAGAGAGAGGGATCGTCGGTGAACCCAGGCGGTGGCAGGAGCACCACCAAGTTTGATTCACACGGACGTCGCTCTCGCTTGGAACTGCGCGCAAACCCTCGTGCGTGTGAGTGTGTGTGTCCGTCGTGCGCCGATGTCTAGGCGTTGTCGTCGGAGAATCCAGGCCGCTGTCTGGGGCACCTGGTGACTACGGAATAAATCCTCTGGCACGAATCCATTGCTGTTACAAACGTCGCTGTGTTTCTTCGGAATTTGTGTTCGTGTGTAGTGAGTCGGAGGTGCGGGACGGGGGGGGGGGTTTGTGTTCACGGTGTCTTGCAGACTCCCTCGCGTCTCCTGCTTGCTCGCATCAACAGCGGCAAAGGGAGAGAGAGATCATCGGTGAATCCAGGCAGTCGCAAGATCCCCAAGTCCGATTTACACAGACGTCTCAGTTCGAACTCCACGCAAACCCTCTCGTGCGTCCCGTAAAGGAAGTGCGGATGTCTGGGGCGTCGTCGGGAGAATCCAGGCAGTTTCCATGGAACCTGGTAACAGCGCGACTCTTTTGCCACCTGTTCAAGTTTGTTTTCACTACAGACGTTGCTACTGCGTTCGCATCGCAGCTGGGGGTCGGTTGGGGGGGGTGGGTGTCCTAACGGTTTATTTTCCAGAAACCTCTCCCTGGTCTACTCTCGCTCAAACGTCAAACATCTCGGTACAGCTCCAAACCAAGGAAGTCCCAACGGGGCAGAGATCCCAGGCAGTGACGGGACAGGGAGCCAGGTCTGCGTCTCGATGTCTCGGTTCAACTCCACGCGGCTTCGTGTTGCGCAAGCGGAGTGGAGGGCGTGCAGATGTCTGGGGCGTCGTCGGGAGAATCCAGGCCGTTAACGGGACACCTGGTAAAGTTAAAACGCCGTTGCCATTCGAATTATCAACGACTACTTCAGGCTTTGCGTTCGTATCGGAGTTTGGGGGGGGGGGGGTCCTGACGTTTTATCTTCCAGAATCCCCCGCGTCTCCTGCGTACTCGCAACTCCAGCTAAGAAGAGATCATCGGTGAATCCAGGCAGTCGCAAGATCCCCAAGTCCGATTTACACAGACGTCTCTCTCGGTTCGAACTCCACGCAAACCCTCTCGTGCGTCCCGTAAAGGAAGTTCAGATGTCTGGGGCGTCGTCGGGAGAATCCAGGCAGTTTCCATGGAACCTGGTAACAGCGCAACTCTTTTGCCCAAGTTTGTTTTCACTACAGACGTTGCTACTGCGTTCGCATCGCAGCTGGGGGTGGGTTAGGGGGGGTGTGTGTCCTAACGTTCTGTCTTCCAGAATCCTCTCCATGTTCTACTCTCGCTCAAATCAAACATCTCGGTACAGCTCCAGGCAGTGACGGGACAGGGAGCCAGATATGCAACCCCCTGCCACTGTTACAACCAAGTCCTGGACATGAGGGGCCAGAGACAACCAACAGCGTCCATCAGGGAGTGTCAATGTCTCTTGCTACCCACAGCAGCAGCAGGAACATTATTACTATGAACTGGTCACGAGCAGTGCTGCTAGGTAGCCACGAGTGTGAACACGGAGGTTGTGTTTATCGTTGTCAAGGCTCGGCAGGTGGTGGTGGTGAATGTGAAACGCAAGCTGACGCACAGAGCAAGCAGCGGCCGCACTGCTGTACAACACCAACCCAGCCCTGGGTGGAAGGTGGGAGAAGCCGTACGGCCATTACCATCCACCAGGGAGTGTCAATGACTCGTGTACTTCCCGCACAGCAACTTTATTTATCAATGGCAATGAGCCTTGGCTGTGTAGCCCACACGTGGACATACGGAGGTTGTGTTTATCGTTGTCAAGGCTGAGCGGATGACGGCGGTGGTGGTGATGGGGAATCGGACACGCTGGCATCCATTCCTGCCACCCCCAACTTTGAGAGAGATGTCTGGGCGAGTTCTCAACCCAGGTAACCGTGCGAGTCTCCGGCCCGATCCTCGGCCTTGCTCGCCAAACGAGCGATGTGGATGTTGTACTTGAGGTTAAACGCCGTTGCCATTGGCATTATCAACGACTACTTCAGGCTTTGCGTTCGTATCGGAGTTGGGGAGGGGGGGGGTCCTGACGTTTTATCTTCCAGAATCCCTCGCGTCTCCTGCGTCCTCGCGACGCCGGCAAAGAGCGGGAAGAGAGATCAACGGTGAATCCAGGCAGTCGCAAGATCCCCAAGTCCCATTTACACAGACGTCTCTCTCGGTTCCAACTCCACGCAAACCCTCTCGTGCGTCCCGTGAAGGTGTCTGGGCTTCGTCGCGGAGAATTCGGGCCGGTTTCCGTGGCACCTGGTAAACACCACAAATCTTCTCTGCCAAAATCTAATGCTTTTTTAAATCCTTTATATTAAGTTCACTTGCTTGCGCGCTTACGACCGTGCAAATCTTTCGGTCGTTTTTTAACCCACTTCCCGTGATCCAATCGAGCTGACATTTTGCACACAGACTCGTTGTGCGAGACAATTAATGTTCGTGAAAAAAATTTCCGTAATTTTACACTTTTATAGGGAAAAATATTTTTTATTATATTTAATTACCAATTGCTTAATGGTGGCAGGCAATCATCTGACCCATAGGTGGCAGCCATCTCAAGCCAGAGGACGAGAGGACTCTAGCCGCCACACATATAAAGGATTTATAGTGAAAAACTTTGTTTTTACGGGTTAATTTTTCACACGTGAGTTTTTGTTATTTTATTTGTGTTCGTATGTCGGGAGTTGACGGGGCGGGGAAGGGGGGTGGGTGTTGCAGACTCGCGTCTCCTGCGTGCTGGCAACAAGAACTGCAACGGGGTGGGGGGGGGAAGAGCGAGAGAGTTGACAGAGTTGATGGGCGAATCCGGGCGGTTACAGGAGCCCAGCACTGATTTTACGCACGCAAACCCTCGCGTGTCTCTCCATCATCGCCTTGTGGATGGTTGTGGTGGTGGTGGTGATCAGGAGTGGATTATGGAGCGAGGAGCAGCAGTGGATTGGAGTCTTGATCTGGAGTGGAGTTTGGAGCGAAGATCAGGAGTGGAGTTTGGAGCGAGGTTCTGGAGTGGAGTTTGGAGCGAGGATCAGGATCTGGAGTGGAGTTTGGAGCGAGGATCAGGAGTGGAGTCTGGAGTGAGGATCAGGAGTGGAGTGAGGATCTGGAGTGGAGTTTGGAGTGAGGATCTGCAGTGGAGTCTGGAGTGAGGATCAGGAGTGGAGTCTGGAGTGAAGATCAGGAGTGGAGCGAGGATCTGGAGTGGAGTTTGGAGTGAGGATCTGCAGTGGAGTTTGGAGTGAGGATCAGGATCTGGAGTGAGGATCAGGATCTGGAGTGAGGATCTGGAGTGGAGTTTGGAGTGAGGATCACGATCTGGAGTGGAGTTTGGAGTGAGGATCAGGATCTGGAGTGGAGTTTGGAGTGAGGATCACGATCTGGAGTGGAGTTTGGAGTGAGGATCAGGATCTGGAGTGGAGTTTGGAGTGAGGATCAGGAGTGGAGTTTGGAGTGAGGATCAGGATCTGGAGTGGAGTTTGGAGTGAGGATCTGGAGTGGAGTTTGGAGTGAGGATCAGGATCTGGAGTGGAGTTTGGAGTGTGGATCAGAAGTGGAGTCTGGAGCGAGGATCGGGAGTGGAGTCTGGTGCAAAGTGCCAGCAGACCAGAATAATCAACGACTACGTCAGGCTTTGCGTTCGTATCGGAGTTGGGGGGGGGGGTTCCTGACGTTTTATCTTCCAGACTCCCTCGCGTCTCCTGCGTCCTCGCGACGCCGGCAAAGAAGAGATCATCGGTGAATCCAGGCAGTCGCAAGATCCCCAAGTCCCATTTAAACAGACGTCTCTCTCGGTTCGAACTCCACGCAAACCCTCTCGTGCGTCCCGTAAAGGAAGTTCAGATGTCTGGGGCGTCGTCGGGAGAATCCAGGCAGTTTCCATGGAACCTGGTAACAGCGCAACTCTTTTGCCCAAGTTTGTTTTCACTACAGACGTTGCTACTGCGTTCGCATCGCAGCTGGGGGTGGGTTAGGGGGGGTGTGTGTCCTAACGTTCTGTCTTCCAGAATCCTCTCCATGTTCTACTCTCGCTCAAATCAAACATCTCGGTACAGCTCCAGGCAGTGACGGGACAGGGAGCCAGATATGCAACCCCCTGCCGCTGTTACAACCAAGTCCTGGACATGAGGGGCCAGAGACAACCAACAGCGTCCATCAGGGAGTGTCAATGTCTCTTGCTACCCACAGCAGCAGCAACATTATTACTATGAACTGGTCACGAGCAGTGCTGCTAGGTAGCCACGAGTGTGAACACGGAGGTTGTGTTTATCGTTGTCAAGGCATGGCAGGTGGTGGTGGTGAATGTGAAACGCAAGCTGACGCACAGAGCAAGCAGCGGCCGCACTGCTGTACAACACCAACCCAGCCCTGGGTGGAAGGGGGGAGAAGCCGTACGGCCATTACCATCCACCAGGGAGTGTCAATGACTCGTGTACTTCCCGCACAGCAACTTTATTTATCAATGGCAATGAGCCTTGGCTGTGTAGCCCACACGTGGACATACGGAGGTTGTGTTTATCGTTGTCAAGGCTGAGCGGATGACGGCGGTGGTGGTGATGGGGAATCGGACACGCTGGCATCCATTCCTGCCACCCCCAACTTTGAGAGAGATGTCTGGGCGAGTTCTCAACCCAGGTAACCGTGCGAGTCTCCGGCCCGATCCTCGGCCTTGCTCGCCAAACGAGCGATGTGGATGTTGTACTTGAGGTTAAACGCCGTTGCCATTGGCATTATCAACGACTACTTCAGGCTTTGCGTTCGTATCGGAGTTGGGGAGGGGGGGGGTCCTGACGTTTTATCTTCCAGAATCCCTCGCGTCTCCTGCGTCCTCGCGACGCCGGCAAAGAGCGGGAAGAGAGATCAACGGTGAATCCAGGCAGTCGCAAGATCCCCAAGTCCCATTTACACAGACGTCTCTCTCGGTTCCAACTCCACGCAAACCCTCTCGTGCGTCCCGTGAAGGTGTCTGGGCTTCGTCGCGGAGAATTCGGGCCGGTTTCCGTGGCACCTGGTAAACACCACAAATCTTCTCTGCCAAAATCTAATGCTTTTTTAAATCCTTTATATTAAGTTCACTTGCTTGCGCGCTTACGACCGTGCAAATCTTTTGGTCGTTTTTTAACCCACTTCCCGTGATCCAATCGAGCTGACATTTTGCACACAGACTCGTTGTGCGAGACAATTAATGTTCGTGAAAAAATTTTCCGTAATTTTACACTTTTATAGGGAAAAATATTTTTTATTATATTTAATTACCAATTGCTTAATGGTGGCAGGCAATCATCTGACCCATAGGTGGCAGCCATCTCAAGCCAGAGGACGAGAGGACTCTAGCCGCCACACATATAAAGGATTTATAGTGAAAAACTTTGTTTTTACGGGTTAATTTTTCACACGTGAGTTTTTGTTATTTTATTTGTGTTCGTATGTCGGGAGTTGACGGGGCGGGGAAGGGGGGTGGGTGTTGCAGACTCGCGTCTCCTGCGTGCTGGCAACAAGAACTGCAACGGGGTGGGGGGGGGAAGAGCGAGAGAGTTGACAGAGTTGATGGGCGAATCCGGGCGGTTACAGGAGCCCAGCACTGATTTTACGCACGCAAACCCTCGCGTGTCTCTCCATCATCGCCTTGTGGATGGTTGTGGTGGTGGTGGTGATCAGGAGTGGATTATGGAGCGAGGAGCAGCAGTGGATTGGAGTCTTGATCTGGAGTGGAGTTTGGAGCGAAGATCAGGAGTGGAGTTTGGAGCGAGGTTCTGGAGTGGAGTTTGGAGCGAGGATCAGGATCTGGAGTGGAGTTTGGAGCGAGGATCAGGAGTGGAGTCTGGAGTGAGGATCAGGAGTGGAGTGAGGATCTGGAGTGGAGTTTGGAGTGAGGATCTGCAGTGGAGTTTGGAGTGAGGATCTGCAGTGGAGTCTGGAGTGAGGATCAGGAGTGGAGTCTGGAGTGAAGATCAGGAGTGGAGCGAGGATCTGGAGTGGAGTTTGGAGTGAGGATCTGCAGTGGAGTTTGGAGTGAGGATCAGGATCTGGAGTGAGGATCTGGAGTGGAGTTTGGAGTGAGGATCACGATCTGGAGTGGAGTTTGGAGTGAGGATCAGGATCTGGAGTGGAGTTTGGAGTGAGGATCACGATCTGGAGTGGAGTTTGGAGTGAGGATCAGGATCTGGAGTGGAGTTTGGAGTGAGGATCAGGAGTGGAGTTTGGAGTGAGGATCAGGATCTGGAGTGGAGTTTGGAGTGAGGATCAGGATCAGGATCTGGAGTGGAGTTTGGAGTGAGGATCACGATCTGGAGTGGAGTTTGGAGTGTGGATCAGAAGTGGAGTCTGGAGCGAGGATCGGGAGTGGAGTCTGGTGCAAAGTGCCAGCAGACCAGAATAATCAACGACTACGTCAGGCTTTGCGTTCGTATCGGAGTTGGGGGGGGGGGGGGGGGGTTCCTGACGTTTTATCTTCCAGACTCCCTCGCGTCTCCTGCGTCCTCGCGACGCCGGCAAAGAAGAGATCATCGGTGAATCCAGGCAGTCGTAAGATCCCCAAGTCCCATTTAAACAGACGTCTCGGTTCGAACTCCACGCAAACCCTCTCGTGCGTCCCGTGAAGGAAGTGGGAATGTCTTCGGCATCGTCGGGAAAACCCAGACAGCGAATTTCCTGGTAACACCGCAACACCTTTGGCCGTGCATTTGAATTTGCCTTGCTGCTACTACTACAGGATTTGGTTGTATCGGGGAGGGGGGGAGGGGGGAGGGGCTCCTAACGTTCTATGTTACAGGACCCCAGCAGTTGTGCCTAGCGCAGATGTCTCGGTTCAACTCCACGCAACTTCCTCAGTGGAACTCCACACGGTCTCTGCAACTCAACGCAACCTTGATGCAACTCCAACAGCGTCCACCAGGGAGTGTCCATGTTTCTTGCTACCCACAGCAGCATCAACATTATTACTATGAACTGGTCGTGAGCAGTGCTGCTAGGCAGCCACGAGTGTGAACACGGAGGTTGTGTTTATCGTTGTCAAGGCTCGGCAGGTGGTGGTGGTGAATGTGAAACGCAAGCTGACGCACAGAGCAAGCAGCAGCACTGCTGTGCAACACCAACCCAGCCCTGGGTGGAAGGGGGGAGAAGCCGTACGGCCATTACCATCCACCAGGGAGTGTCAATGACTCTTGTCCTTCCCGCACAGCAACTTTATTTATCGATGGCAATGAGCCTTGGCTGTGTAGCCCACACGTGGACATACGGAGGTTGTGTTTATCGTTGTCAAGGCTGAGCGGATGACGGTGGTGGCGATGGGCGGAATGGGAGATGCGCAACCCCCTGCCGCTGTTACAACCCAGTCCTGGACAGGAGGGGCCAGAGACACCCAACAGCGTCCATCAGGGAGTGTCAATGTCTCTTGCTACCCACAGCAGCAGCAGCAGCATTATTTATGATCAATGGCAATGAGCCGTGCTCTGTAGCCACGCGTGAGCATCATGGAGGTTGTGTTTTATTATTGTCAAGGCTGAGCGGATGGTGGTGGTGGTGGTGATGGGGAATCAGACACGCTGGCATCCGTTCCTGCCACCCCCAATTTTGAGAGAGATGTCTGGGCGAGTTCTCAACCCAGGTAACCGTGCGAGTCTCCGGCCCGATCCTCGGCCTTGCTCACCAAACGAGCGATGTGGATGTTTTACTTGAGGTTAAACGCCGTTGCCATTCTCATTATCAACGACTACTTCAGGCTTTGCGTTCGTATCGGAGTTGGGGGGGGGGGGGGGGGGTCCTGACGTTTTATCTTCCAGACTACCTCGCTTCTGTGTCCTCGCGACGCCGGCAAAGAGCGGGAAGAGAGATCATCGGTGAATCCAGGCAGTCGCAAGATCCCCAAGTCCCATTTACACAGACGTCTCTCTCGGTTTGAACTCCACGCAAACCCTCTCGTGCGTCCCGTGATGGTGTCTGGGCTTCGTCGCGGAGAATTCGGGCCGGTTTCCGTGGCACCTGGTAAACACCACAAATCTTCTCTGCCCAAATCTATCGCTTTTTGAAACGTGAGTTTTTGTTATTTTATTTGTTTCAGTTTCATTCATTAGGTTTTGCCCTGTGAGCCATTCGGCTCTTGATTTGGGTGTCAACCGCAACAAACATTAAAATGACAAGATACACCTAAAATTAATTGTACGCAAATCTGAACATCGCATTATGTAAACAATGAAATGCTACAGAAAAAGCACAACCCATCCTTTGTGCATACAGAAAGTGCAAAAAATTCCATTTCTGTTTGATCCCAATAACAATCCTACTACAATACAGATAAAAAAAAATCTGTAAATCTATACTAAATCAAAAAAATCGGGCCAAACCAATCCCCTCTAAAACTTACGTTGTAGTAACAGTTTTCCCAACAAATGTGATTGAAAGTTTACAATAGCTACAGACACAACACACATCTAAACGTAGCATCCTTGGCTAGCTGCATAAGTCAATCCATGACAGCCGGATTAACAATAGCAGTAGCAGCGCGCTATAATCACAATACATAACAAGTTAATACGTCGGTCATCTACAGCTCTATTTATTATTTCAGGCCACTGCGTTCGCATCACAGCTGGGAATCGGTTGGGGGGGGGGGGTGTCCTAACGGTTTATCTTCCAGAAACCTCTCCCTGGTCTACTCTCGCTCAAACGTCAAACATCTCGGTACAGCTCCAACGAAAGGAAGCCCCAACGGGGCAGAGATCCCAGTCCTGAACAGGAGGGGCCAGAGACAACCAACAGCGTCCATCAGGGAGTGTCAACGTCTCTTGCTACCCACAGCAGCAGCAGCAGCATTATTTATGATCAATGGCAATGAGCCGTGCTCTGTAGCCACGCGTGAGCATCATGGAGGTTGTGTTTATTATTGTCAAGGCTGAGCGGATGGTGGTGGTGGTGATGGGGAATCAGACACGCTGGCATCCGTTCCTGCCACCCCCAACTTTGAGAGAGATGTCTGGGCGAGTTCTCAACCCAGGTAACCGTGCGAGTCTCCGGCCCGATCCTCGGCCTTGCTCACCAAACGAGCGATGTGGATGTTGTACTTGAGCACCAATGGAACATTACATTCTCCCAAACACAGCTGGCAGAAGTTGCAGAGCTTGCTTTCCAACAAGGGCATTCAATTGATTTTGATAACGTTGAAGCGTTATGCGGAACTAATTATTGCTGGCCAAGATTAGTTGGATAATTGAAATCTAGAAGAATTCAAATAATTTCAACCGCTGTGATGGCTACAGACTCGGCGCAGCCTGGAAGCTTCTTAAATCTTTAGTGGCTCCAGGAATTCATATTCTTTGGGTCTTTCGGTGAAGCCGCGTGACTTTACCGAATGTATTAAGTAATACACAACACACATTGCAATGCCTTACATGTGTGTCGCTAAGTGGCTGATTACTGATCTATTACTTAGTTGCATAGCCCCTCACCGCTGCCTCTGATCTCGAATCCTGAAGGGGTTCAACAACGACGATGACATCGTCATCCTGCACTGTTTGTTTACGACCAGAAGCAGGTGGATGGCTTCACTATTCTGGCAAATCGCACCGAACGTGCCGGATGTAGTTTCCAGCGAAACGTCGCTGTTACTCGGATTGTAAATGTGGATTCACTCTTTAACACACCGGCGGGCTAAAGTAATGAACTCTCTTTTTTGTCAACGTGACACATTTTTTTACCAATTGGCCGTGTCGGGTGGTGGCGGGTTTCAACGACACATTTAATATATTCACGAGATCCAACCCAACAACAACAACAACAACTCTGTTATGTCTTCTTGGTTCTTTCGGTAAAGTCATCACGTAGAATGGAAATAATGAAAATAAAACAATCAAATAATTCTCACGACGTTTCGGCCACAACGCAAGCAGCCGTCCTCAGGTGGAGAACAGGTCTGTCGAGAAGACAGTCTGAATGCGTTGTGGCCGAAACGTCGTGAATTAATTAATTGTTTTATTATTATTATTTTATTATTTCCCTTCTACGTGATGACTTCACCGAAAGAACCAAGAAGATGAATCCCTGCTGCAGTCACGAAATCTTTAAATCGAAATTTAACTCTGTTACGCTTTTACAAACGTTGCGTTGCCACGGAATTAGCGTTCTCACGTCGTGAGTTGGGGCTGGGTAGGAGGAAGGGGGGTGGGGAGGGTTGCTGTGTCCACGCCGTGTCTTGCAGACTCCCTCGCGTCTCCTGCGTGCTCGCGACGGCAGCAGCAGCAGCAGAGAGGGATCGTCGGTGAACCCAGGCGGTGGCAGGAGCACCACCAAGTTTGATTCACACGGACGTCGCTCTCGCTTGGAACTGCGCGCAAACCCTCGTGTGTGTGTGTGTGTGAGTATGTGTGAGTGTGTGTCTGTCGTGCGCCGATGTCTGGGCGTTGTCGTCGGAGAATCCAGGCCGCTGTCTGGGGCACCTGGTGACTACGGAATAAATCCTCCGGCACGAATCCATTGCTGTTACAAACGTCGCTGTGTTTCTTCGGAATTTGTGTTCGTGTGTCGTGAGTCGGAGGTGCGGGACTGGGAGGGGGGGGGTGTTAACGCCGTGTCTTGCAGACTCCCTCGCGTCTCTGCGTGCTCATAGCAACAGCAGCAGCAGCAAAGAGGGGGAACAGAGATCATCGGTGAATCCAGGCAGTCACAAGATCCCCAAGTCCGATTTACACAGACGTCGCTCTCGGTTCGAACTCCACGCAAACCGTCTCGTGCGTCCCGTGAAAGAAGTGCAGATGTCTGGGGCGTCGTCGGGAGAATCCAGGCAGTTAACGGGACACCTGGTAAACAAAGTTACCACGCCGTTGCCTTTCGTTCGTATTTTCAATGTCTAATTCAGGCTTTGAGTCCGTATCAGAGTTGGTGGGATTGGTTGGGGGGGGGGGGGTCTCTAACGATCTGTCTTCCAGAATCTTTCCTCGTGTCTACTCTGAAACATCTCGGTACAGCTCCAACGAAAGGAATCCCCAACGTGGCAGAGATCCCAGTCCTGGACAGGAGAGCCAGAGACAACCAACAGCGTCCATCAGGGAGTGTCAATGTCTCTTGCTACCCACAGCAGCAGCAGCAGCAGCATTATTTATGATCAATGGCAATGAGCCGTGCTCTGTAGCCACGCGTGAGCATCATGGAGTTTGTGTTTTATTGTTGTCAAGGCTGAGCGGATGGTGGTGGTGATGGGGAATCAGACACGCTGGCATCCGTTCCTGCCACCCCCAACTTTGAGAGAGATGTCTGGGCGAGTTCTCAACCCAGGTAACCGTGCGAGTCTCCGGCCCGATCCTCGGCCTTGCTCACCAAACGAGCGACGTGGATGTTGTACTTGAGGTTAAACGCCGTTGCCATTGGCATTATCAACGACTTTGCGTTCGTGTCGGAGTTGGGGGGGGGGGGGGGGGTCCTGACGTTTTATCTTCCAGAATCCCTCGCGTCTCCTGCGTCCTCGCGACGCCGTCAAAGAGGGGGAAGAGAGATCATCGGTGGATCCAGGCAGTCACAAGATCCCCAAGTTCGATTTACACAGACGTCTCTCTCGGTTCGAACTCCACGCAAACCCTCTCGTGCGTCCCGTGAAGGAAGTTCAGATGTCTGGGGCATCATCGGGGAAATCTCAGACAGCGGACCTCCTGGTAACACCGCCAACACCTTTTTGGCCGTGCGTTTGAATTTGCCTTGCTGCTACTACTACAGGGTTTGTTTGTATCGGGGAGGGGGGAGGGGCTCCTAACGTTCTATGTTACAGGACCCCAGCAGTTGTGCTTAGCGCAGACGTCTCGTTCAACTCCACGCAACTTCCTCAGTGCAACTCCACGTAACCTCGGTGCTACTCAACGCAACTTTGATGCAACTCCCAACAGCATCCATCAGGGAGTGTCAATGTCTCTTGCTACCCACAGCAGCAGAAAAACATTATAACTATGAACTGGTCATGAGCAGTGCTGCTAGGTAGCCACGAGTGTGAACACGGAGGTTGTGTTTATCGTTGTCAAGGCTCGGCAGGTGGTGGTGGTGGTGAATGTGAAACGCAAGCTGTCGCACAGAGCAAGCAGCCGCACTGCTGTACAACACCAACCCAGCCCTGGGTGGAAGGGGGGAGAAGCCGTACGGCCATTACCATCCACCAGGGAGTGTCAATGACTCTTGTCCTTCCCGCACAGCAACTTTATTTATCAATGGCAATGAGCCTTGGCTGTGTAGCCCACACGTGGACATACGGAGGTTGTGTTTATCATTGTCAAGGCTGAGCGGATGATGGCGGTGGTGGCGATGGGCGGAATGGGAGATGCGCAACCCCCTGCAGCTGTTACAACCCAGTCCTGGACAGGAGGGGCCAGAGACAACCAACAGCGTCCATCAGGGAGTGTCAATGTCTCTCGCTACCCACAGCAGCAGCAGCATTATTTATGATCAATGGCAATGAGCCGTGCTCTGTAGCCACGCGTGAGCATCATGGAGGTTGTGTTTTATTATTGTCAAGGCTGAGCGGATGGTGGTGGTGATGGGGAATCAGACACGCTGGCATCCGTTCCTGCCACCCCCAACTTTGAGAGAGATGTCTGGGCGAGTTCTCAACCCAGGTAACCGTGCGAGTCTCCGGCCCGATCCTCGGCCTTACCAAACGAGCGATGTGGATGTTTTACTTGAGGTTAAACGCCGTTGCCATTGGCATTATCAACGACTACTTCAGGCTTTGCGTTCGTATGGGAGTTGGGGGGGGGGGGGGGGTCCTGACGTTTTATCTTCCAGAATCCCTCGTGTCTCCTGCGTCCTCGCGACGCCGGCAAAGAGCGGGAAGAGAGATCATCGGTGAATCCAGGCAGTCGCAAGATCCCCAAGTCCCATTTACACAGACGTCTCTCTCGGTTTGAACTCTGGGACATTCGTCGGGAAAACCCAGACAGCGGATTTCCTGGTAACACCGCAACTCCTTTGGCCGTGCGTTGGAGTTTGTCTTGCTGCTACTTACTACAGGATTTGTAGTTACCTCGATGCAACTCTACGTAACCTCAGAACATCGGAGGGGAAAAACCCCTATTATGTTTTGCTTTTCGTAATCGGCCACGCGGGGAAAAGTTGTCAGGCAGGACTTTGTGAAAGTTTTAAACGAGGCAAAACTTGACACTTTTATTAGCAAATGACCACAGCGTCAAGTTTACGAAATGTGACCTGAAGATTTAAATCGGTGTTTTCTTACGGCCGTCCTGAATATTTCCCTAAGCCAGCAAAGGGCGTTGATGGTGACATTGCTAGCAAGCAGTGTGCAGTGTTGGCCCTTGTGGATCTGGGGTGGGGGAGGGGGGAGGGGCTCCTAACGTTCTATGTTACAGGACCCCAGCAGTTGTGCCTAGCGCAGACGTCTCGTTCAACTCCACGCAACTTCCTCAGTGCAACTCCACACAACCTCGCTGCAACTCTACGTAACCTCAGAACGCCTTCACGCAACCTTGCTCCAACTCCTCGCAACTCCAGTGCAACTCCACGCGTTCTCTGTGCAACTCCCAAGCAACCTCGCGACATCGTACAAGGGGGGAGAGCAACAGGGAAGGAAGCGCAAATTGCTCCTCTGTCATCGGCCATTCCAGGCGGTTAACGGGACCCGGTAACACCGTCAACACTTTGACGTTCACATTTGCCTCGCTGCTACTGCTGCTACAGGCCTTGTGTTTGTGTCAGGGGGAGTGGGGGGGGGGTCTCTAACGTTCTGTCTTCCAGAATCCTCTCCCCGGTCTACTCTCGCTCAAACGTCAAACATCTCGGTACAGCTCCAAACCAAGGAAGCCCCAACGGGGCAGAGATCCCAGGCAGTGACGGGACAGGGAGCCAGGTCTGCGTCTCTGTCTCGGTTCAACTCCACGCGGCTTCGTGTTGCGCAAGCGGAGTGGAGGGCGTGCAGATGTCTGGGGCGTCGTCGGGAGAATCCAGGCCGCTAACGGGACACCTGGTAAAGTTAAAACGCCGTTGCCATTCAAGTTATCAACGACTACTTCAGGCTTTGCGTTCGTATCGGAGTTGGGGGTGGGGGGGGAGTCCTGACGTTTTATCTTCCAGAATCCCTCGCGTCTCGTGCGTCCTCGCGACGCCGGCAAAGAGCGGGAAGAGAGATCATCGGTGAATCCAGGCAGTCGCAAGATCCCCATGTCCCATTTGCACAGACGTCTCTCTCGGTTCCAACTCCACGCAAACCCTCTCGTGCGTCCCGTGAAGGTGTCTGGGCTTCGTCGCGGAGAATTCGGGCCGGTTTCCGTGGCACCTGGTAAACACCACAAATCTTCTCTGCCCAAATATAGCGCTTTTTTAAATCCTTTATATTAAGTTCACTTGCTTGCGCGCTTACGACCGTGCAAATCTTTCGGTCGTTTTTTAACCCACTTCCCGTGATCCAATCGGGCTGACATTTTGCACACAGACTCGTTGTGCGTGACAATTTATTTTCGTGAAAAAAATTTCCGGAACTTTCCACTTTATAGGAAATGTATTTTTTATTATATTTAATTACCAATTGCTTAATGGTGGCAGGCAATCATCTGACCCATAGGTGGCAGCCATCTCAAGCCAGCGGACGAGAGGACTCTAGCCGCCACGCATATAAAGGATTTATAGTGAAAAACTTTGTTTTTACGGGTTAATTTTTAACACGTGAGTTTTTGTTATTTTATTTGTGTTCGTATGTCGGGAGTTGACGGGGCGGGGAAGGGGGGGTGGGTGTTGTGTTAACGCCGTGTCTTGCAGACTCGCGTCTCCTGCGTGCTCACAGCAAGAACTGCAACGGGGTGGGGGGAAGAGCGAGAGAGTTGACAGAGTTGATGGGCGAATCCAGGCGGTTACAGGAGCCCAGGTCTCTTTTCACGCACGCAAACCCTCTCGTGTCTCCATCGTTGCCTTGTGGATGATTGTAGTGGTGGAGGTGATTGTGGTGGTGGTGATAACCAGGGGGTGGTGAGTGGCTTGCCTCTGTAGGAGGCCGTGGCATCGTTTAACAAGTAGCAGCAGCAGCAGCAGGGGGCTTTTTGCAACCACTCTACATAAGATGTTGGTTTTGTGCTAGAACTAGTGACGAATTGGCACGTCTTGTTCACGCGACAAACCTTACCCAATTGGCCGTGTCGGGTGGTGGCGGGTTTCAACGACACATTTAATATATTCACGAGATCCAACCCAACAACAACAACAACTCTGTTACGTCTTCTTGGTTGTTTCGGTAAAGTCATCACGTAGAATGGAAATAATAAAAATAAAACATAAAATAATTCTCACGACATTTCGGCCACAACGCAAGCAGCCGTCCTCAGGTGGAGAACAGGTCTGTCGAGAAGACAGTCTGAATGCGTTGTGGCCGAAACGTCGTGAATTAATTAATTGTATTATTATTATTTTATTATTCCTCTTCTACGTGATGACTTTACCGAAAGAACCAAGAAGATGAATCCCTGCTGCAGTCACGAAATCTTTAAATCGAAATTTAACTCTTGTTACGCTTTTACAAACGTTGCGTTGCCACAGAATTAGCGTTCTCACGTCGTGAGTTGGGGCCGGGTAGGAGGAAGGGGGGTGGGGAGGGTTGCTGTGTTCACGCCGTGTCTTGCAGACTCCCTCGCGTCTCCTGCGTGCTCGCGGCAGCAGCAGCAGCAGCAGAGAGGGATCGTCGGTGAACCCAGGCGGTGGCAGGAGCACCACCAAGTTTGATTCACACGGACGGCGCTCTCGCTTGGAACTGCGCGCAAACCCTCGTGCGTGTGAGTGTGTGTGTCCGTCGTGCGCCGATGTCTGGGCGTTGTCGTCGGAGAATCCAGGCCGCTGTCTGGGGCACCTGGTGACTACGGAATAAATCCTCTGGCACGAATCCATTGCCTTTACAAACGTCGCCGTTTTTCTACGGAATTTGTGTTCGTGTGTCGTGAGTCAGAGGTGCGGGACTGGGGGGGGGGGGGGTGTTAACGCCGTGTCTTGCAGACTCCCTCGTATCTCGGCTTGCTCACATCAACAGCGGCAAAGAGAGAGATCATCGGTGAATCGAGGCGGTTACAGGAGCCCAAGTCTGTCTCACGCAGATGTCTCTTGGGTTCGAACCCCAACGGGGCAGAGATCCCAGGCAGTGATGGGACACCTGGTAAAGTTAAAACGCCGTTGCCATTGGCATCGTCAACGACTACTTCAGGCTTTGCGTTCGTATCGGAGTTGGGGGGGGGGGGGGGTCCTGACGTTTTATCTTCCAGAATCCCTCACGTCTCGTGCGTCCTCGCGACGCCGGCAAAGAGCGGGAAGAGAGATCATCGGTGAATCCAGGCAGTCACAAGATCCCCAAGTCCCATTTACACAGACGTCTCTCTCGGTTCGAACTCCACGCAAACCCTCTCGTGCGTCCCGTGAAGGAAGTGGGAATATCAGGGCTTCGTCGGGAGAATCCAGGCAGTTTCCATGGAACCTGGTAACAGCGCAACTCTTTTGCCACCTGTTCAAGTTTGTTTTCACTACAGACGTTGCTTCTGCACTCAAATTTCTGCTGGGGGTGGGTTGGGGGGGTGGGTGTCCTAACGGTTTATCTTCCAGAATCCTCTCCCTGGTCTACTCTCGCTCAAACATCTCGGTACAGCTCCAACGAAAGGAAGCACCAACGGGGCAGAGATCCCAGGCAGTGACGGGACAGGGAGCCAGGTCTGCGTCTTGATGTCTCGGTTCAACTCCACGCGGCTTCGTGTTGTGCAAGCGGAGTGGAGGGCGTGCAGATGTCTGGGGCGTCGTCGTGAGAACCCAGGCAGTGAACGCACCTCCTGGTAACAGCGCAGCTCCTGTGCCACCCGTCGCTTTCAAGATTGTTGACTGGGAGTTGGGGCAGGGGGGGTTCCTCTAACGCTGCAACCTGCAGACTCCTCCACCCCGTCTACTCGCGCTCAAACTTGAGGAGGAGGAGGAGGCCCAAGGTCTGCGTCAGTCGGCGGCGATTCCAGGCGGTTGTACCGGCACCTGGTAACACCACAAATACTTTGGCGTCTGTTTGAATTTGCCTCGCTACTACCGGAGTTGTGTTTGTATCGGGGGAGTAGGTGGGGGGGTTCTCTAATGTTCTGTCTTCCAGAATCCTCTCCCTGGTCTACTCTCGCTCAAACGTCAAACATCTCGGTACAGCTCCAAACCAAGGAAGCCCCAACGGGGCAGAGACCCCAGGCAGTGATGGGACAGGGAGCCAGGTCTGCGTCTCGATGTCTCGGTTCAACTGCAGAGGCAGGAAGTGCAAACGGTCGAATCGGCGGTGGATACGGGCAGTTAGCGGACCTCCTGGTAACACCGCAACTCCTTTGGCCGTGCGTTTGAATTTGCCTTGCTGCTACTACTACAGGATTTGTTTGTATTGGGGGGGGGGGGGGTCTCTAACGTTCTGTCTTCCAGAATCTTTCCTCGTGTCTACTCTGAAACATCTCGGTACAGCTCCAAAGAAAGGAAGCCCCAACGGGGCAAAGACCGCCTGTCAAAAGGTTCTGTTCGCTGCTCGTGAAACGTTTAAAAATGGAGGATGAATTTGCGGAGATTTTTTTTTTAATTGCTGGGATGAAATGTCTCTATGAAACAAACTCTATCATCCCGAGTCATCGCGGCCACTTCACGTCAGTTTGGCAACGTCAAAACCCCGGCACGCGTGAAGTCTGGAAGGCTTCGGGGAAATTAACGATTGGACAATGAACGCTCGACAAATTGTGGAGGAATTTGAAGTGAAATTTTCCAAACTCGACTTGCTTCCTCAAGTGCTTCTTGAAGGGAGGCAGCCCCCCCTCTTGGGGAAAGATTTAACAATTGACTTTTTTACGAACGTGGAAATTGCGCACCGCTTAAGAGACTTGGAGGGGGCAAGGCTGGGGGAGCATTGCAAAGCGACCAACAGCAACTCTTGTCGGCCTGATCTTTTGCGCAGATTGCCCGAGGGGAAGTGGGCATTGTCCAGGAGACGTGTGAAGCAGAGGGTCGGGGACGCAGATGCACCGGGCTCGCTCGCACAGGCGGTTCCTTGCCGGCGTGAAATCAATCGTCGGGTCACAAATATCACACTCAGTAACCCGTCGCAACGCTGCTACTGTCACAGCTCCACTGTCACCGCCTGCCACTGCTCTGCCACCGTCACCGCCCTCTGCTGCCCAGCCACGATCACCGCTCTCCACTGCCCAGCCACCATCACTGCCCAGCCATGATCACCGCTCTCCACTGCCCAGCCACCATCACTGCCCAGCCACCATCACCGCCTCTGCACTGCCCAGCCACCGTCACCGCCTCTGCACTGCCCAGCCACCATCACCGCCTCTGCACTGCCCAGCCACCGTCACCGCCTCTGCACTGCCCAGCCATCATCACCGCCTCTGCACTGCCCAGCCATCATCACCGCCTCTGCACTGCCCAGCCACCATCACCGCCTCTGCACTGCCCAGCCACCGTCACCGCCTCTGCACTGCCCAGCCACCATCACCGCCTCTGCACTGCCCAGCCACCATCACCGCCTCTGCACTGCTACTGAATCGGCCACCGTCACTGCCCTCTGCTGCCCAGCCACACGAAGCTCACACAGCTGCTCCGTCTGCCCTGCACCCTCCTCCCCCGTGTGCGCGTTTTGTAGCCGCTCGCTGGCTGCTGGCGTTCTATACCAAGCTCCACCGACCGGCCATCGTCCTATGTGTGGGTGGCGCAGGCTGTGCGGTAAAGCAATCGTCCCACTCCTCCCACATGCAATTTTACCCCACGTGGTGCAAAGTGCTGTGTGCATGGAAGAAGGCATTGGGTGGGCGGGGGGGTTGTCCTTAACCAAATGTCTTCCAGAAGTTTCTCCCCCCCCCCCCCATCTCTTTCCCGCTGAGCAGAGCTTGCGTCTCCGTAGCCCAGGCGGTGAGACGTCTCGTGCCTCGTGGTCTGGGTAAACCAAAGGTCTCCCCCCACACACCCGTTTACGAATCTGTCCGTTGCTGTGGCTTGCCAGAAATCTTGAGGGGGGGTGGGGGGGGCCTTTCACGTTCTCTGTTACAGAACCTAGTCAAACGTCCAGCCCTACCTACCTACCCTGTACAACAAGCCCAGCCCTGCAGAAGGGGAAGAAGAGACACCACAGCAAGCCCCATGACACCGCCACAACCAGGGAGTGCCCTTTGACTCGCCTCACTCTGCATGCGTTATTCTCAATGGGTCATGAGTTGGCTTCGCCAGCCAGGTGTGAACGTTGAGCTGTGTTTATCGTTGTCAAGGCTGAGCGGGTGATGGTGGCGATGGGTGGAGAATGTGAGGAACTCAACCCCCGACTGCTGTACAAATCGGCACAAAGTAAACCAGCCGTGGAAGGAGCGGGGCGAGAGTCTTTGCCACCACCAGGGAGTGTCCTTAACTCTTCGTGCTTCACAGCCACACGGCAACATTTATAATTGTTTATCAATGGTGATGGGCCTTGGCTCTTTAGCCCACGAGTGTGAACACGGAGGTTGTGTTTATCGTTGTCAAGGCTCAGCAGGTGGTGGTGGTGGTGAATGTGAAACGCAAGCTGACGCACAGAGCAAGCAGCCGCACTGCTGTACAACACCAACCCAGCCCTGGGTGGCAGGGGGGAGAAGCCGTACGGCCATTACCATCCACCAGGGAGTGTCAATGACTCTTGTCCTTCCCGCACAGCAACTTTATTTATCAATGGCAATGAGCCTTGGCTGTGTAGCCCACACGTGGACATACGGAGGTTGTGTTTATCGTTGTCAAGGCTGAGCGGATGATGGTGGTGGTGATGGTGAATCGCTGGCATCCGTTCCTGCCACCCCCAACTTTTGAGAGAGATGTCTGGGCGAGTTCTCAACCCAGGTAACCGTGTGAGTCTCCGGCCCGATCCTCGGCCTTGCTCGCCAAACGAGCGACGTGGATGTTTTACTTGAGGTTAAACGCCGTTGCCATTGGCATTATCAACGACTACTTCAGGCTTTGCGTTCGTGTTGGGGGGGGGGGGGGGGGGGCCTGACGTTTTATCTTCCAGAATCCCTCGCGTCTCCTGCGTCCTCACGACGCCGGCAAAGAGCGGGAAGAGAGATCATCGGTGGATCCAGGCAGTCGCAAGATCCCCAAGTCCCATTTACACAGACGTCTCTCTCGGTTCCAACTCCACGCAAACCCTCTCGTGCGTCCCGTGAAGGAAGTTCAGATCTCTGGGGCATCATCGGGGAAATCTCAGACAGCGGACCTCCTGGTAACACCGCCAACACCTTTTTGGCCGTGCGTTTGAATTTGCCTTGCTGCTGCTACTACAGGATTTGTTTGTATCGGGGAGGGGGGGAGGGGGGAGGGGCTCCTAACGTTCTATGTTACAGGACCCCAGCAGTTGTGCCTCGCGCAGACGTCTCGTTCAACTCCACGCAACTTCCTCAGTGCAACTCCACACAACCTCGCTGCAACTCCAGGCAACTCGGTTCAACTCCACGTAACCTCAGAACATTTTCATTCAACCTTGCTCCAACTCCTCACCTCCACACGTTCTCTGTCCAACTCCACGTTACCTCGCTGCAACTCTACGTAACCTCAGAACACCTTCACGCAACCTTGCTCCAACTCCTCGCAACTTCAGTGCAACTCCACGCGTTCTCTGTGCAACTCCCAAGCAACCTCGCGACATCGTACAAGGGGGGAGAGCAACAGGGAAGGAAGCGCAAATTGCTCCTCTGTCATCGGCCATTCCAGGCGGTTAACGGGACCCGGTAACACCGTCAACACTTTGACGTTCACATTTGCCTCGCTGCTACTGCTGCTACAGGCCTTGTGTTTGTGTCAGTGGGAGTGGTGGGGAGGGGTCTCTAACGTTCTGTCTTCCAGAATCCTCTCCCCGGTCTACTCTCGCTCAAACATCTCTGTACAGCTCCAAACCAAGGAAGCCCCAACGGGGCAGAGACCCCAGGCAGTGACGGGACAGGGAGCCAGGTCTGCGTCTCGATGTCTCGGTTCAACTCCACGCGGCTTCGTGTTGCGCAAGCGGAGTGGAGGGCGTGCAGATGTCTGGGGAGTCGTCGGGAGAATCCAGGCCGTTAACGGGACACCTGGTAAAGTTAAAACGCCGTTGCCATTCGAATTATCAACGACTACTTCAGGCTTTGCGTTCGTATCGGAGTTGGGGGGGGGGGGGTCCTGACGTTTTATCTTCCAGAATCCCTCGCGTCTCCTGCGTCCTCGCGACGCCGGCAAAGAGCGGGAAGAGAGATCAACGGTGAATCCAGGCAGTCGCAAGATCCCCAAGTCCCATTTACACAGACGTCTCTCTCGGTTCCAACTCCACGCAAACCCTCTCGTGCGTCCCGTGAAGGAAGTTCAGATCTCTGGGGCATCATCGGGGAAATCTCAGACAGCGGACCTCCTGGTAACACCGCCAACACCTTTTTGGCCGTGCGTTTGAATTTGCCTTGCTGCTACTACTACAGGATTTGTTTGTATCGGGGAGGGGGGAGGGGCTCCTAACGTTCTATGTTACAGGACCCCAGCAGTTGTGCCTAGCGCAGACGTCTCGTTCAACTCCACGCAACTTCCTCAGTGCAACTCCACGTAACCTCGGTGCAACTCTACGTAACCTCAGAACAATTTCATTCAACCTTGCTCCAACTCCTCGCAACCTCAGTGCAACTCCACGTGTTCTCTGTGCAACTCCCAAGCAACCTCGCGACATCGTACAAGGGGGGAGAGCAACAGGGAAGGAAGCGCAAATTGCTCCTCTGTCATCGGCCATTCCAGGCGGTTAACGGGACCCGGTAACACCGTCAACACTTTGACGTTCACATTTGCCTCGCTGCTACTGCTGCTACAGGCCTTGTGTTTGTGGGGGGGGGGTGTCTCACGTTCTGTCTTCCAGAATCCTCTCCCCGGTCTACTCTCGCTCAAACGTCAAACATCTCGGTACAGCTCCAACGAAAGGAAGCCCCAACGGGGCAGAGATCCCAGGCAGTGACGGGACAGGGAGCCAGGTCTGCGTCTCGATGTCTCGGTTCAACTCCACGCGGCTTCGTGTTGCGCAAGCGGAGTGGAGGGCGTGCAGATGTCTGGGGCGTCGTCGGGAGAATCCAGGCCGTTAACGGGACACCTGGTAAAGTTAAAACGCCGTTGCCATTGGCATTATCAACGACTACTTCAGGCTTTGCGTTCGTTGGGGGGGGGGGGGGGGGTCCTGACGTTTTATCTTCCAGAATCCCTCGCGTCTCCTGCGTCCTCACGACGCCGGCAAAGAGCGGGAAGAGAGATCATCGGTGGATCCAGGCAGTCGCAAGATCCCCAAGTCCCATTTACACAGACGTCTCTCTCGGTTCCAACTCCACGCAAACTCTCTCGTGCGTCCCGTTAAGGAAGTTCAGATGTCTGGGGCATCATCGGGGAAATCTCAGACAGCGGACCTCCTGGTAACACCGCCAACACCTTTTTGGCCGTGCGTTTGAATTTGCCTTGCTGCTGCTACTACAGGATTTGTTTGTATCGGGGAGGGGGGGAGGGGGGAGGGGCTCCTAACGTTCTATGTTACAGGACCCCAGCAGTTGTGCCTCGCGCAGACGTCTCGTTCAACTCCACGCAACTTCCTCAGTGCAACTCCACACAACCTCGCTGCAACTCCAGGCAACTCGGTTCAACTCCACGTAACCTCAGAACATTTTCATTCAACCTTGCTCCAACTCCTCACCTCCACACGTTCTCTGTCCAACTCCACGTTACCTCGCTGCAACTCTACGTAACCTCAGAACACCTTCACGCAACCTTGCTCCAACTCCTCGCAACTTCAGTGCAACTCCACGCGTTCTCTGTGCAACTCCCAAGCAACCTCGCGACATCGTACAAGGGGGGAGAGCAACAGGGAAGGAAGCGCAAATTGCTCCTCTGTCATCGGCCATTCCAGGCGGTTAACGGGACCCGGTAACACCGTCAACACTTTGACGTTCACATTTGCCTCGCTGCTACTGCTGCTACAGGCCTTGTGTTTGTGTCAGTGGGAGTGGTGGGGAGGGGTCTCTAACGTTCTGTCTTCCAGAATCCTCTCCCCGGTCTACTCTCGCTCAAACATCTCTGTACAGCTCCAAACCAAGGAAGCCCCAACGGGGCAGAGACCCCAGGCAGTGACGGGACAGGGAGCCAGGTCTGCGTCTCGATGTCTCGGTTCAACTCCACGCGGCTTCGTGTTGCGCAAGCGGAGTGGAGGGCGTGCAGATGTCTGGGGCGTCGTCGGGAGAATCCAGGCCGTTAACGGGACACCTGGTAAAGTTAAAACGCCGTTGCCATTCGAATTATCAACGACTACTTCAGGCTTTGCGTTCGTATCGGAGTTGGGGGGGGGGGGGTCCTGACGTTTTATCTTCCAGAATCCCTCGCGTCTCCTGCGTCCTCGCGACGCCGGCAAAGAGCGGGAAGAGAGATCAACGGTGAATCCAGGCAGTCGCAAGATCCCCAAGTCCCATTTACACAGACGTCTCTCTCGGTTCCAACTCCACGCAAACCCTCTCGTGCGTCCCGTGAAGGAAGTTCAGATCTCTGGGGCATCATCGGGGAAATCTCAGACAGCGGACCTCCTGGTAACACCGCCAACACCTTTTTGGCCGTGCGTTTGAATTTGCCTTGCTGCTACTACTACAGGATTTGTTTGTATCGGGTAGGGGGGAGGGGCTCCTAACGTTCTATGTTACAGGACCCCAGCAGTTGTGCCTAGCGCAGACGTCTCGTTCAACTCCACGCAACTTCCTCAGTGCAACTCCACGTAACCTCGGTGCAACTCTACGTAACCTCAGAACAATTTCATTCAACCTTGCTCCAACTCCTCGCAACCTCAGTGCAACTCCACGTGTTCTCTGTGCAACTCCCAAGCAACCTCGCGACATCGTACAAGGGGGGAGAGCAACAGGGAAGGAAGCGCAAATTGCTCCTCTGTCATCGGCCATTCCAGGCGGTTAACGGGACCCGGTAACACCGTCAACACTTTGACGTTCACATTTGCCTCGCTGCTACTGCTGCTACAGGCCTTGTGTTTGTGGGGGGGGGGTGTCTCACGTTCTGTCTTCCAGAATCCTCTCCCCGGTCTACTCTCGCTCAAACGTCAAACATCTCGGTACAGCTCCAACGAAAGGAAGCCCCAACGGGGCAGAGATCCCAGGCAGTGACGGGACAGGGAGCCAGGTCTGCGTCTCGATGTCTCGGTTCAACTCCACGCGGCTTCGTGTTGCGCAAGCGGAGTGGAGGGCGTGCAGATGTCTGGGGCGTCGTCGGGAGAATCCAGGCCGTTAACGGGACACCTGGTAAAGTTAAAACGCCGTTGTCATTCGAATTATCAACGACTACTTCAGGCTTTGCGTTCGTATCGGAGTTGGGGGGGGGGGGGGGGGTCCTGACGTTTTATCTTCCAGAATCCCTCGCGTCTCCTGCGTCCTCGCGACGCCGGCAAAGAGCGGGAAGAGAGATCATCGGTGAATCTAGGCAGTCGCAAGATCCCCAAGTCCCATTTGCACAGACGTCTCTCTCGGTTCGAACTCCACGCAAACCCTCTCGTGCGTCCCGTAAAGCAAGTGCGGATGTCTGGGGCGTCGTCGCGAGAACCCAGACAGTGAACGTACCTCCTGGTGACAGCGCCGCTCCTGTGCCACCCGTCGCTTTCAAGATTGTTGACTGGGAGTTGGGGCAGGGGGGGTTCCTCTAACGCTGCAACCTGCAGACTCCTCCACCCCGTCTACTCGCGCTCAAACTTGAGGAGGAGGAGGAGGCCCAAGGTCTGCGTCAGTCGGCGGTGATTCCAGGCGGTTGTACCGGCACCCGGTAGCACCACGACCACTCTGACATTCACTTTTGCTCGTGACTGCAGCGGTGTTTGTGTCGGTATCAGAGTTGGTGGTTGGGTTGGACGTGGGGCTGCGTGGGGTGGGAGAGAGAGAGGGGAGGGGGCTACTTTACTGCGTTCGTATCGGAGTTGGGGGGGGGGGGGGTCCTGACGTTTTATCTTCCAGAATCCCTCGCGTCTCCTGCGTCCTCGCGATGCCGGCAAAGAAGAGATCATCGGTGAATTCAGGCAGTCGCAAGATCCCCAAGTCCCATTTACACAGACGTCTCTCTCGGTTCCAACTCCACGCAAACCCTCTCGTGCGTCCCGTAAAGGTGTCTGGGCTTCGTCGCGGAGAATTCGGGCCGGTTTCCGTGGCACCTGGTAAACACCAAATCTTCTCTGCCCAAATCTAATGCTTTTTTAAATCCTTTATATTAAGTTAACTTGCTTGCGCGCTTACGACCGTGCAAATATTTCGGTCGTTTTTTAACCCACTTCCCGTGATCCAATCGAGCTGACATTTTGCACACAGACTCGTTGTGCGTGACAATTAATGTTCGTGAAAAAAATTTCCGTAATTTTACACTTTTTAGGGAAAAATATTTTTATTATTTAATTACCAATTGCTTAATGGTGGCAGGCAATCATCTGACCCATAGGTGGCAGCCATCTCAAGCCAGAGGACGAGAGGACTCTAGCCGCCACGCATATAAAGGATTTATAGTGAAAAACTTTGTTTTTACGGGTTAATTTTTCACACGTGAGTTTTTGTTATTTTATTTGTGTTCGTATGTCGGGAGTTGACGGGGCGGGGAAGGGGGGGGTGGGTGTTGTGTTAACGCCGTGTCTTGCAGACTCGCGTCTCCTGCGTGCTCACAGCAAGAACTGCAACGGGGTGGGGGGGGGAAGAGCGAGAGAGTTGACAGAGTTGATGGGCGAATCCAGGCGGTTACAGGAGCCCAGGTCTCTTTTCACGCACGCAAACCCTCTCGTGTCTCCATCGTTGCCTTGTGGATGATTGTAGTGGTGGAGGTGATTGTGGTGGTGGTGATAACCAGGGGGTGGTGAGTGGCTTGCCTCTGTAGGAGGCCGTGGCATCGTTTAACAAGTAGCAGTAGCAGCAGCAGGGGGCTTTTTGCGACTAATCTACATAAGATGTTGTTTTTGTGCTAGAACTAGTGACGAATTGGCACGTTTTGTTCACGCGACAAACCTTACCCAATTGGCCGTGTCGGGTGGTGGCGGGTTTCAACGACACATTTAATATATTCACGCGATCCAACACAAAAACAACAACAACTCTGTTACGCTTTTACAAACGCTGCGTTGCCACAGAATTAGCGTTCTCACGTCGTGAGTTGGGGCTGGGTAGGAGGAAGGGGGGTGGGGAGGGTTGCTGTGTCCACGCCGTGTCTTGCAGACTCCCTCGCGTCTCCTGCGTGCTCGCGACGGCAGCAGCAGCAGCAGAGAGAGGGATCGTCGGTGAACCCAGGCGGTGGCAGGAGCACCACCAAGTTTGATTCACACGGACGTCGCTCTCGCTTGGAACTGCGCGCAAACCCTCGTGCGTGTGAGTGTGTGTGTGTCCGTCGTGCGCCGATGTCTGGGCGTTGTCGTCGGAGAATCCAGGCCGCTGTCTGGGGCACCTGGTGACTACGGAATAAATCCTCTGGCACGAATCCATTGCCTTTACAAACGTCGCCGTTTTTCTACGGAATTTGTGTTCGTGTGTCGTGAGTCGGAGGTGCGGGACTGGGGGGGGGGGGTGTTAACGCCGTGTCTTGCAGACTCCCTCGTATCTCGGCTTGCTCACATCAACAGCGGCAAAGAGAGAGATCATCGGTGAATCGAGGCGGTTACAGGAGCCCAAGTCTGTCTCACGCAGATGTCTCTTGGGTTCGAACCCCAACGGGGCAGAGATCCCAGGCAGTGATGGGACAGGGAGCCAGGTCTGCGTCTCGATGTCTCGGTTCAACTGCAGAGGCAGGAAGTGCAAACGGTCGAATCGGCGGTGGATACGGGCAGTTAGCGGACCTCCTGGTAACACCGCAACTCCTTTGGCCGTGCGTTTGAATTTGCCTTGCTGCTACTACTACAGGATTTGTTTGTATTGGGGGGGGGGGGGTCTCTAACGTTCTGTCTTCCAGAATCTTTCCTCGTGTCTACTCTGAAACATCTCGGTACAGCTCCAAAGAAAGGAAGCCCCAACGGGGCAAAGACCGCCTGTCAAAAGGTTCTGTTCGCTGCTCGTGAAACGTTTAAAAATGGAGGATGAATTTGCGGAGATTTTTTTTTTAATTGCTGGGATGAAATGTCTCTATGAAACAAACTCTATCATCCCGAGTCATCGCGGCCACTTCACGTCAGTTTGGCAACGTCAAAACCCCGGCACGCGTGAAGTCTGGAAGGCTTCGGGGAAATTAACGATTGGACAATGAACGCTCGACAAATTGTGGAGGAATTTGAAGTGAAATTTTCCAAACTCAACCTGCTTCCTCAAGTGCTTCTTGAAGGGAGGCAGCCCCCCCTCTTGGGGAAAGATTTAACAATTGACTTTTTACGAACGTGGAAATTGCGCACCGCTTAAGAGACTTGGAGAGGGCAAGGCTGGGGGAGCATTGCAAAGCGACCAACAGCAACTCTTGTCGGCCTGATCTTTTGCGCAGATTGCCCGAGGGGAAGTGGGCATCGTCCAGGAGACGTGTGAAGCAGAGGGTCAGGGTCGGGGACGCAGATGCACCGGGCTCGCTCGCACGGGCAGTTCCTTGCCGGCGTGAAATCAATCGTCGGGTCACAAATATCACACTCAGTAACCCGTCGCAACGCTGCTACTGTCACAGCTCCACTGTCACCGCCTGCCACTGCTCTGCCACCGTCACCGCCCTCTGCTGCCCAGCCACGATCACCGCTCTCCACTGCCCAGCCACCATCACTGCCCAGCCATGATCACCGCTCTCCACTGCCCAGCCACCATCACTGCCCAGCCACCGTCACCGCCTCTGCACTGCCCAGCCACCATCACCGCCTCTGCACTGCCCAGCCACCATCACCGCCTCTGCACTGCCCAGCCACCATCACCGCCTCTGCACTGCCCAGCCACCGTCACCGCCTCTGCACTGCCCAGCCACCATCACCGCCTCTGCACTGCCCAGCCACCATCACCGCCTCTGCACTGCTACTGAATCGGCCACCGTCACTGCCCTCTGCTGCCCAGCCACAGGAAGCTCACACAGCTGCTCCGTCTGCCCTGCACCCTCCTCCCCCGTGTGCGCGTTTTGTAGCCGCTCGCTGGCTGCTGGCGTTCTATACCAAGCTCCACCGACCGGCCATCGTCCTCCTATGTGTGGGTGGCGCAGGCTGTGCGGTAAACCACTCGTCCCACTCCTCCCACATGCAATTTTGGTGCACAGTGCTGTGTGCATGGCGGGGGGGGGGTTGTCCTTAACCAAATGTCTTCCAGAAGTCTCCTCCCCCCTGAGCAGAGCTTGCGTCTCCGTAGCCCAGGCGGTGATACGTCGCGTGCCTCGTGGTCTGGGTAAACCAATGGACTCGCCCCACACACACCCACTTGTTACCTGTGGAACATACGAATCTGTCCGTTGCTGTGGCTTGCCAGAAATCTTGGGGGTGGGGCGGGGGGGGGCCTTTCACGTTCTCTGTTACAGAACCTAGTCAAACGTCCAGCCCTACCTACCTACCCTGTACAACAAGCCCAGCCCTGGAGAAGGGGAAGAAGAGACACCACAGCAAACCCCATGACACCGCCACAACCAGGGAGTGCCCTTTGACTCGCCTCACTCTGCATGCGTTATTCTCATTGGGTCATGAGTTGGCTTCGCCAGCCAGGTGTGAACGTGGAGCTGTGTTTATCGTTGTCAAGGCTGAGCGGGTGATGGTGGCGATGGGTGGAGAATGTGAGGAACTCAACCCCCGACTGCTGTACAAATCGGCACAAAGTAAACCAGCCGTGGAAGGAGCGGGGCGAGAGTCTTTGCCACCACCAGGGAGTGTCCTTAACTCTTCGTGCTTCACAGCCACACGTCAACATTTATAATTGTTTATCAATGGTGATGGGCCTTGGCTTTGTAGCCACGAGTGTGAACACGGAGGTTGTGTTTATCGTTGTCAAGGCTCGGCAGGTGGTGGTGGTGAATGTGAAACGCAAGCTGACGCACAGAGCAAGCAGCCGCACTGCTGTACAACACCAACCCAGGGAGTGTCAATGACTCTTGTATTTCCCACACAGCAACTTTATTTATCAATGTCAATGAGCCGTGCTCTGTAGCCACGCGTGAGCATCATGGAGGTTGTGTTTTATTATTGTCAAGGCTGAGCGGATGGTGGTGGTGGTGGTGGTGGTGATGGGGAATCAGACACGCTGGCATCCGTTCCTGCCACCCCCAACTTTGAGAGAGATGTCTGGGCGAGTTCTCAACCCAGGTAACCGTGCGAGTCTCCGGCCCGATCCTCAGCCTTACCAAACGAGTGACGTGGATGTTTTACTTGAGGTTAAACGCCGTTGCCATTCTCATTATCAACGACTACTTCAGGCTTTGCGTTCGAGTTGGGGGGGGGGGGTCCTGACGTTTTATCTTCCAGAATCCCTCGTGTCTCCTGCGTCCTCGCGACGCCGGCAAAGAGGGGGAAGAGAGATCATCGGTGAATCCAGGCAGTCGCAAGATACCCAAGTCCCATTTACACAGACGTCTCTCTCGGTTCGAACTCCACGCAAACCCTCTCGTGCGTCCCGTGAAGGAAGTGCGGATGTCTGGGGCATCGTCGTGAGAACCCAGGCAGTTAACGGGACACCTGGTAAACAAAGTTACCACTCCGTTCCCATTCGTTCGTATTTTCAATGTCTAATTCAGGCTTTGAGTCCGTATCAGAGTTGGGGTGGGATTGCTTGGGGCGGGTGGGTTGGGGGGGGCGGTCTCTAACGTTCTGTCTTCCAGAATCTTTCCTCGTGTCTACTATGAAATATCTCGGTACAGCTCCAACGAAAGGAAGCCCCAACGGGGCAGAGACCCCAGGCAGTGACGGGACAGGGAGCCAGGTCTGCGTCTTGATGTCTCGGTTCAACTCCACGCAACTTCCTCAGTGCAACTCCACACGGTCTCTGTGCAACTCAACGCAACTTTGATGCAACTCCCAACAGCATCCATCAGGGAGTGTCAATGTCTCTCGCTACCCACAGCAGCAGCAGCAGGAACATTATTACTATGAACTGGTCATGAGCAGTGCTGCTAGGTAGCCACGAGTGTGAACACGGAGGTTGTGTTTATCGTTGTCAAGGCTCGGCAGGTGGTGGTGGTGAATGTGAAACGCAAGCTGACGCACAGAGCAAGCAGCAGCCGCACTGCTGTACAACACCAACCCAGCCCTGGGTGGAAGGGGGGAGAAGCCGTACGGCCATTACCATCCACCAGGGAGTGTCAATGTCTCTTGCTACCCACAGCAGCAGCAGCAGCATTATTTATGATCAATGGCAATGAGCCGTGCTCTGTAGCCACGCGTGAGCATCATGGAGGTTGTGTTTTATTATTGTCAAGGCTGAGCGGATGATGGTGGTGGTGATGGGGAATCAGACACGCTGGCATCCGTTCCTGCCACCTCCAACTTTGAGAGAGATGTCTGGGCGAGTTCTCAACCCAGGTAACCGTGCGAGTCTCCGGCCCGATCCTCGGCCTTGCTCACCAAATGAGCGACGTGTGGATGTCTATTTGCGCACCAAAGGGACATTAACTTCTCCCAAACACAGCTGTCAGCAGTGGCAGTGCTTGCTTGCCAACAAGGACATTCAATTGATTTTGATACCGTTGCAGTGTTTTGCGGAACTAATTATTACTGGCCAAAATTAGTTCGAGAATTAATTGAAATTGAGAATAATCCTGATGGGGTTCAACAACGATGACATCGTCATCCTGCACTGTTTGTTTAAGACCAGAAGCAGGTGGACGGCTTCACTTTTCTGGCAAATCGCACCGAAGGTGCCGGATGTCATTTCCAGCGAAACGTCGCTGTTACTCGGATTGTAAATGTTGTGGATCCACTCTTGAACAAACCGGCGGGCTAAAGTGGTGAACTATTTTGTCTTTTGTCAACGTGACACATTGTTTACTGATTGGCAGTGTCGGGTGGTGGCGGGTTTTAGCGACACATTTAAAATATTTACGCGATCCAACCCAAAAGCAACAACTCTATCGCGTTTTTTCAAACGTTTCGTTGCTACAGAATTAGTGTTCTCATGTCGGGAGTTGGGGCTGGGTAGGAGGAAGGGGGGTGGGGAGGGTTGCTGTGTCCACGCCGTGTCTTGCAGACATCGTACGAGGGGGGAGAGCAACAGGGAAGGAAGCGCAAATTGCTCCTCTGTCATCGGCCATTCCAGGCGGTTAACGGGACCCGGTAACACCGTCAACACTTTGACGTTCACATTTGCCTCGCTGCTACTGCTGCTACAGGCCTTGTGTTTGTGTCAGTGGGAGTGGGGGGGGGGTCTCTAACGTTCTGTCTTCCAGAATCCTCTCCCCGGTCTACTCTCGCTCAAACGTCAAACATCTCGGTACAGCTCCAACGAAAGGAAGCCCTAACGGGGTAGAGACCCCAGGCAGTGACGGGACAGGGAGCCAGGTCTGCGTCTCGATGTCTCGGTTCAACTCCACGCGGCTTCGTGTTGCGCAAG